GAGGTCGGGGAAGTTCGGTCTGGCATTGCTCCATAGTAGCGCGAGTATTATCGCCCACTGTCAGGCGATCCAATCAAATTGTCAGGGCGGGCTTTATACGATGATGGACAGTTGATCAACAGTAACGTAATCAACCACGTGACCAAAGCGCGCTTGGGTGACAACAACAATGGCTGCCGCTGGAGAGTTGAGGTGAGTAGATTCTGCTATTAGGTCTGTTCTAGAAGATATCGACAGCAAATTAATTTTAAAAGAGGAACAGAGAAATGCCATCAAGTCTCATCTTCTTATTCTAGGCGTGCAACTGCACGCTTTGATTTTTGTGGACAACAACTATGCCTCGCTTAACATACGTCACGCACTCCGTTGCTCTTATTGGTTGTAGGTCTATCCAATTGAGTGCAGAGGCATTTTTTTTCCTGGTTCGTTCGAAACACGCCCCATAATCACAGCTCTATGGAGCAGCATCAGACTCATTCTGACTAGAATTGAGTCGGACTACGTCAGGCTAACTGGTACCTACCTTTTCCGGTAGGTTCATGTAATTGTGTTTTTCTTAATGTAGCTGCGCTTTTAGATTTGTAGTTGCAGTTTGCACTTCAGGGCCACCGTAGTTAACTGTGCAGAGCTGGTTTACACATCACGCTAGCCCGGTTCCACGCCTCCTAGTGACGATCTACGGTAATACTGCTCTCTAGGATCGAAGGAGGAAATCAAACAAATTAAAATGGCGGCGCCCGTAATGTTCAGGAAGTTATGTTCGGTTATAATCGTGATATTTCGTTGGCGAAGAAGTCAAGACTTTGGTAAATTTACTTGACAGTGGATACGACCAACGATAGTCTAATCTTCTTCTTCTGTTTTATGGCGGGTGGCAGGAAACTTACTGATGTCCATTACCGCCAACTAGTGGAAGCTGACTGTAAGGAGATGACGCGGTCGGCTCATGCGCTCCTTGTTATCAAAGAACCGTGCCGAGCTCTACTGATGAACTAGTGCTAGATTAGCGCGGCTTGGTGGCGTCTGGCACGGTCCAGTTCAGTTTACACTCCGTTACCTCGGTTACGGTGCTCGGAACGCTCTCGGCACGGTTTATAAAGGCGGGTGTAAATGGCGCTTATAAAGCTGGAGATATCTGAGACTATATTCTGTGGTTTGAAGGCTCAGGGAATCTTCTGTCCATCAGTTAATGACCTTTAGCTCAGCAGCAGCTTCACCTGTGGCTCCAAAACCCTCCAACGTGCCCAAAGTAGATCACAGATTCTTCCACAGTGATGTTAAACACCCACAGCAGTTTTCACAAACCCCTGATAGCAGTGGTTTCTAAAGAGGTTGGCATAAACATCATGGAGGTTTAGAATCTAGGAATCTTTGGCCGGTTATTTATTTTTTTTTCCTTTCCTGCAGCACAGTAAATCAATCAGACTAAATACCAAATGTACGGTTTTATAAGATACGTAAAGACTGTTGCTTTAAGCCAGCTTTAAAACGAGTGTAGGTGGGTCTGCAGAGACATTAAGATTCTCAGATAAGCGGATCCAGCGCCTTTATTCCTGCCCGGCAGGTTAAGACTTGAAGGGAACACAAAATATTTAAGCACACTCTGACATGTTGAGGATTTTTTTGTGCACGAAACTGCAGAAGAGAAAAAATCCACACCTTTCCAGCATTCACTTCCTTATTACAGCGGTTTGTAGCTGCATCAAACAGAGTTGGAGTCGCTGCGGTTCTAAACCGCTCGCTGCCTCCTCAAAAAGTTTCCTTCAGGCAACAGAGAAAAGCAGAACTGAGATGTTATACCTCTAGCTGCATGTGATAACGTTACTAAGGTACTACTTCCTTCACAGCCTTCATACGCTTCTCTTTTGTGTTTTTTAGAGAAAAATAAATGTTCAAATGCAGAGAAAAGGGAACCAATGATGCAGGTAAATTGAGCTATGGGGGAAAGATTCAGCAGACATGAAACTCTTTCAGGTTTTCTGCAGCGAGGCCCGTTAATGAAACCTGGAAGGACTTAAGGTGGTTTGTTTTTAAGCCTGCATCCCTCTCAGTCGATAATTGTGCACACGTTCTAATTTTATCGTTACGGCTTTATCGCTGCTCCACGCAGGAGAGGACTGGATGACTGAAACATTCCTGCTTTCTGCTGGATGGTTGGCTCAGATCAGTCAGCGTCGTGCAGGCACAGAAATATGCAGGTTTAAACCGGAGAAGGTATTCCGCTAGGGGCGGGACAAGCTGCAAGCATTTCAACTCAAGTATCCAGACGCAGAGAAAAACTCGATGAATATCATTGATAGATAACCGTTATACCATCTGCAGATCATCTGCCAAGTGTCACTCCTGTTAGCCGGGAACAGGAAGCAGAAGCTATAATAAATACAGGTGAATAAAAACTGGCACTGGCATAAAAAAACAATGTCTGCCTTGAAGAGTCCTAATTTCAGCACTAGCCTCCGGATCACTGGGTAAGAATTTATATAAAAATCATTAAAGTTGGGATTTCCCCGTCGTTTGGCAGGCATCAGATCAGGGTGTTATTAAAGACGTCCTCATAAGATCAAAATCAGGAGTCGCTGATGGAACTCAGCTCCTCAAACCGAACCATCAGCTCACGTATCAGTGACTTATATCAAAACAGCAAACATGAACTTTATTTAACTCAGAACATCAGCAAACCGATCAAAGCAAAAACTCCCTCAGCGGGGAAAAGAAGAGAGTTCAGAGAAGCAATGTTTGCAAAGACGGCTTTAAAAGTAAAGGTTAAGATACGAAGGTTTGAGACGACAGAGACGCTGGCAGAAAATTACAGAAGCTTCTTTAAACAAGTCACCTCCACGTAGGAGCAGCATGACAATGTGTTTCAGCTAGGGGTGCACCGATAAATCGGCCGGCCGATCGATCGGCCCCGATTTCCTTAATTTAGGGTGATTGGTGATCGGCCGATATTTACATATGAAACCGATCTTAACCACCGATCTATTTACCTCCGCGAGTGTCTTAAAATCAGTTGCTATTCCATATTTTTTCTGGTCTTTTGTTGAAGTTTTGTTTTTTGAAATGTAAAAAAATTAAAAGACCAATGTTGTAGTCTTAAGTTTGTTTTATTTAATATTTATTATTCAATTCATTTCTATGTCAAGGCTCTACCTCATGGGCAGTTAAAACAAGTTTATAATGGTTCAAGGCTATTGTTCAAGGGCATGTTTTTCAAGAAAAGATTGTAATATTGACAGTGAATTACGATCTTGTAACACAGCGTTGGTTATAGCAAAAAAAATAAAATAAAATCGGTATTAACCAAAAATCGGAATCGGCAGGTCAGACTTTTTAAAGATCGGTGATCGGAAATCGGCCGGAAAACTGCAATCGGTGCACCCCTAGTTTCAGCAACATTTCTGCTGCTTTTTGGAAACATATGTCAGGAAATAAGTGTCTTATTAATGAAATAGGGTTGATTTTAAACATAAATAGGACTTATTTTTGTAAACAATGTCTCTAAATGCTGCTGGAGGTTTCTTCCTGTTGAAAGGGAGGTTTTCCTCTCCACTGTCGCTACAAGCATGCTTAGTGTGAGGGATTGCTGAAGAGTCAATGAGTCGATGCAATCAGCTGGTTTTCTTTAAATAGAAAACTGAATCAATCTGACTGGATGATCTGGTGAACTGGAAAGTGACATGATGAGGATTGGAGCTATAGAAATAAACTGAATAGAATTAAATAGGCATCAGATGATGGGGCTTCTTTAAATCAATCTACTTTAAATTTAGGCTGGTGCTATGATGACAAGGACATTTTCTTGGCACACTTTTGGCCTTTTTGTTCCAATTGTTTAAGAGGTTATGAGAGCAGATTGTGTCTCTACCTTTATGATCACATAGATCTATGTTCTGATCTATGTTCTATCCTGGTTCAGCAGGATAAGGCATTATATCCCCATTTTTGGAACAATTTAATTAATTCGCTGAGCTCCAGTGGATGCGTTTGTGTGGGATTTGGACATTTGGAAAACTTAATGTGCAACTAAATATTTAATCTACAGAGAATGTTCTAAAGGAGGACACCAGTGGGTTTACTATTAAAAATAAATCAGCCGTGGGTTCATTCAATGTGGGACCGTTCTGTGGATCTGGAAACAGATCTATGATCCTGGTTGTGATCCTCTTGATCTGAGGAGCCTCTTAAAGGGGAGGTAATGATGTCCACCTGATGGATCACCTTTCCCTGACTTCCCCTTTAAGGACCGGTAGCAGCCTGTCGATGACATAATCCAGGAAACTGGAAGCTCACAGCTTCCAGTGTGCAGAAAAAAAAGAGAAAGAAAGAAAGTTGGGGAAAAGTTTTTCCAACTGCTGCTGAGGGGCTGATTATTACCATGTTTGGGCAGAGGCTCGCTCCATGCAGGCCCAACCCAAACCGCAGCGCTTACTCAGATTCCATTCACTTTTTTCCTTCTGCCCTTTTTTTTTTCCCTCAAAGCGGAGGAAAGTTTGTAACTCCCCCTTTTCCTAACAAACCATTCATTCTCAGAAAAGGAGGAAAATAAATGGTAGTGGCTGCGACACGCGTGGGGAAGATCTGCTAGGACAGCTCTATGGATGCCACAGCAAATGAGCTCATTGAAGTGGAAACTGTTTAACTGGGATTAAATTATTTGCAGATTAACTTCCAGAATATAATTACCGTAAATGTGATAATAAAGCGCGCGCACAGTTCATGGGTTGATAATTAGGGCCTAATTCAAGTCGCATCATTAAGCAGATGACAGTGGGGAGGTCGGGGGGCCACTCCAACGCGTGCCTGACATCTGTTGCCCCCCCTCCCCATGCAGAGCCAAGGGGCCCCAGGTTCGAGGACCAAAGTTCTGTTAAAGCCGCTCATACAGGTGGGGGGGGGGGAGCTGCTCGCTTCCACAGAGAAACGCACCCGCATTGCTGCGTGGCAACAGCAATACCTTGTGTGAGTGTGAGGGAGGCATTGCTTCCGCAGCGCAGTCTCACCTTCCTCTGCTGCTTCTCCCAGGCTGGATCCAGCAGCATATCCCGGTCCCAGTCATCCTCCGGCTGCATGTACTCGTTCTCTCCGTCGCAGTGCTCCATCCTGTCCCTGGATCCTGGCTCTGTCTGCGGATGTTTTCTCTGCAGCTCCTCGGTGTGCGGCTGTAATTAACGGTCCAACCTCCGGCTTCCTTCCCTCTATCTGCTCTCCGTGTTCCCCTCCTACCCGCTGTAGGCAGGTCTTGTTTCGAGGAGCGACAAACACGCAAAAAACTTTGCTCCAGACAAATTAGAATCGATAACTGGCTGCTGAAATCTGATTGGATAAGCTCTCGGGATAGAGCCCGCCCCCCTTGTCTCCTATTGGTTGTCGTGGCTGTCAGCGCCCAGGCTTTATATCCAAGGTTGAGTGCGCAGGGTGAACCAAACTCTGCTAAAAAGAAAGGAAACGTTTCATTTTATGTTGTTTTTTTTATGCCAAAGTTGAATTAAAATGTAACCTTTTCACTCCTGCTGGCATATTTACAGCAGTTAACGATGCTTGGAAAGGTTTTTTATTATAGTAGTCAGCAAAGGTTCTTTTTACAGACTGTTATGGTTAAACTAACCACTGACTATGAAAGATTTTACACAGTCTGACGCACAATACTGTTTATTTTGTTTTAGTGTCCAGTTCAGGGTCACTATGGGAAAAAGGAAAAGGTTTTAATTCTCACCCTCTATACGTTTCATTCCTTATTTCTGAATTGCTGTCATGCCTCTTTTTGATGCATCACTCATTGCTTTTCTTCTCTCTCTTGATCTATTGGGTCTATTCTTCTATTCTTCCTTTTTTATTCTATCCTTTCTTTGTCTCTTTCCCTCTTGCTACAATTAAAACTGGATAAAATCCCTAATATTTACTGTAAAATGCTTAATTTCCTTTTGGGATTATTATGGTATTCTCCAATTGTTCATCCTTCCTTCCTTCCTTCCTTCCTTCCTTCCTTCCTTCCTTCCTTCCTTCCTTCCTTCCTTCCTTCCTTCCTTCCTTCCTTCCTTCCTTCCTTCCTTCCTTCCTTCCTTCCTTCAATTTGAATCCTCCCTTCTTTCTGTCTTCCTTTATGTTTCATTGTTGAAGTTGAACTTACCAGATGCCCGTGACACCTAAGCCGACTCTTTACAATCTGGAAGTAGTTTCTCCAACATCTGGGACGAGGCTGAATAAAACTGTAAGCCGCACTTTTCAGATTTTTCTGGGTAAAACATGACCATTTTCCTTCCACAATGAGCCGCTGTTTTGTTTTTGTCCATCAGTTGCACTATCAGACAATAACAAAGGTTCTGAATGAGCTTAACCACTCACAATTTTCTATTCAGAATTAGCATTTCATTCAGCAGAACCAAGCAGACATGTCACAATGATTTTGAATAGTTTCTTTTTAGGGCCAAGTTGACTCTAGTAGTCTTACAAAAAACGTCTGAGGAAAAATCCACTGATCAGCCTTAACTTTCATCCAAAGCTTTAAAGTCTTCAATAATGTAAAATCACACCTGATGCAAAAACTTTAAAAATAACAGGCAAACTGATGATCTTCCTAAAGGATAGATATGAATGTCACCAAATAAAATATATATTTTTTTTATCTCAACATAATTGAGGAGTTCCCAAATAGTGTTCAGCCCTAAAAATAAAGAAGCATGAGTGGAGTTTTGCTCCCGGGATCCATTAAGAGGCAACAAGGTTGCATGAAGCCGCTGGCAGAAAGGTGTGTCAAAGCTCAGCTATTGTAAGCATGTGGAGAGAGATGGCCAGGTCTGTCTGCCTTGTAAGGTAAGATGACTCTTCCTCTCAGTGTCTCTCTCTCACAGAGGGCAGAAAAGTGGGATAGCCCTGACAAGAGAAAGTGGAGCTCTTCCATATATGGACAAACTTCCAGTGGTGCATGTTTGGGAAAGTGATGTCACAGGATAGGAGATCAGGCTGCCAGCTCACGCTCTGCTGTAGAGCCGAGGGAAGCAGCAGCAGTGAAAACATCAGCAGTCCTCAGGATGGAAGGAAATAAAAGCAGCTGAGATCAGTCTATCAGTAAGAGTTTGGCCTGTGCTACTGTGATTATTACACACACTTCCATTAGCTAATTAGCCCTCAGCCATTTGCAAAACAAAGGAGTCATTAACGTTACATTTAGGAGCACTCAGGAAACTGGTTAGCTGTACAGAATATTCATTATACTGAGAAATTAATAACTCCCTTTGCATTAATTTTTAAATTAGGGTTGAATTTGTTTATAAGCAATAGATTTTAACGAGAATAAAGGGTTATGCATGTCACAAATGGTCCTTTTGATGTGAAAGCTAAAAGTTTTTTTACTCATTTATAGAGAAGAGCTCAAATGTTTTGATGTTTTAAACCCCAAATGGCTTCTATCCTTGTTTTTAGGCTCATAAATAGTTTGAATAATTAGTTTTCAGGTAAGCGATGAGCATAAAGAAGCTTTTTATGCTGAATTAGTATTTGAATAGTCAAAGCATACAGGCAATACGAAGTGTCACATCTAAAATGAAAGGTCAGATATGAACAACCAATAGACGCTCCTGCTGGTTTAATGACATAATAGGCTTTTATGCCATGCTGCAAAATATGAAACAGGTAAATGAACTGCTTGTCCTGGTTCCCAGCAGGCTGATCTTTCCCATTTTAGGGGTACACAAACATCATTTATTGGGGTTTCTCTCATGGTTAACTGTATTTTGCAAACCTTTGCATTTATGTTCAGCCACTGTTCAATCCATCATTCTAAATTGGGGAGAGTTTTGACGCTACTAAAAACCAAGAAGAATATGGCCGCCCACCTTAACAGCAGAGACCCTCAGCTCAGGTTGGAGAATCAGGAAAACTATTTCTACATTTGTGGAAGAGAGGCAGGAGGAAAGCTGTAAGATGGCCCCCGTTTAACAGGTAGAGGATACAGCAAAGATGTAGAAGTAGGGAAAAATCTGCTCTTATTATACGACAATAAACCCTGCAGCTGATACTAAATGGTTGAAGGTGATACTTGCATTATTATGATGTGGAAATAGTTTTCTCACTGGAAAAAATACAAATCTAGATAAGTCATTTTTTGTTCAATTAGGGCATTTGTTCTTGAATTGAGGAGGTAAATGAGACACTTTGCCAATGGAACAAGACAATTTACATTTAAAAGAAGAAAAATAAAACATTGCATTGTCTTATTTCAAGTGCATATTATCCTATTATCTTATTTTAAGAGTGAAAACGCTCATTCCATTGGAAAATCATCCCATTAACCTACTAAAATTAAGGATATATGCGCTTAATTTAAGGCAATTTTACTTATTTCTAGATTGTTTTTGCAGTTCCTTACCATAGACACGGATGTTGGTCATGTTTATGAAAGGAAGACTGAACTCTGAAAATAGGGGGGAGCCTAACACCGGGTTGCCGGCGACCTGTTTTAACGCAATTCAGCTTATTTCTCCACTATTTAACCACCAAGTTCATTTTATAGACACAGCATCTTGTTTGAACTGATGCAGCTTGGGCTGTGTCATGTCATGTAATCTGGGCTTACAGTTCCTAAGTTATTTGCTTTTCCATTTGGGTCTGCAAAATAGGCCAGAATTTCCCAAAATGAAGCGGATATTAAGAGGCTAAAAAACATAAAATCTCCAATCAATGCAATGGTTTGTTGCAAAGTCGTCAAACTGATATAAGAAACTTTCCTGAGACTGGAGAGAATTTTTAGTGTTAAAGTGAGCAGCGCTCAAAGATGTGCCTTAAACACTTGCTATTGTAACTACAAAAATAAAAACTGGAACATGAAATATCCAAATAAAGTAGAAGTTTGTAACAAAATGATGAAAAGCTCTGAGTTTGAGGTCAGCAGAGGTCTGATACATGGTTTAAAAGAAGAGCAGGTTATGCAGAGGAGCTATTGCTGATTCTGAAGGCTCTCAGGCTCATGAGAGGAATTGGCGGATGCTGCTGGCTGCGTTTGGTCTCTGGCAGCTTCCAGAGGTATTCCAGTCATCTCCGAAGGGGAATTCTTCAATAGCTGCCCGAGCTGTTAAGGCTGAGCCATGTATGGACTACTGCTGCATGGGCTGCCGTCCCTCCCACTGAGCCGTGTTTGGGTTAGGGAGCAGACGTCTTCGGCTAAAACCTCACCTGACATCACAAAGTCTTCAGCATCACTCTTTCCTATGATGTGATAGAGGATGAGGAGAGTTTCGCTCTAAAAACCAATAGAGCGGATTAAACCCTGCTCTAGCTGAACGCCATCCAAGGCTGTGGTTAAACTGGGCTCCTCCCAGTTGTGGATGTGACCTTTGATGGTGGAAATGGCCCTCTGGTAACCATTCCTAATTACTTCCGCATAAAACATTAACGCTGCTCATGTGAGGCGACCATCTAAAGACGTGGGAAGATATTTAAAGGAATAAGCTTCCCTCACAGTTCAGGCCCTGAATGTAAAGTGTAGCGTACATTGATCCCATAACGACACGTGTTCAGAAGAAGGTATATTACTGGCTACGTCCGGCTCATCTGCATTACGTCCTAGAGGACAGGAATGGGATCTTGACCTGCATTAAAATAATGTGAACTACATAACTTGCCTCCTTGCAGAGCGTGAAATTATGCGTCTGCTAAGATGTTGCACGTTATAAGCGGTCGGGTTCTAGGCAGCAGGAAGTGGTCCACATTTCCTACTGCCTTTGGTTTTTATAAAAAAATTCAATCTCATAGAATTTGATTTTAATTTTCTTTTCCCCAGGTCTGGATAGGGGTGAGTTTTGGCATTTGTTGCGATACGATATGTGTCACAATACGATATTATGACGATATTGCCATGTTACTACATACTGCGATATTTTACCCAGCTGTCAAACTGAAATGTTTAGTTAAAAAAGAAGCAAGTTCTGCAGACGTTCATCATTAGATATGGATCAGTCGGGTATTTTGGTATCCATGTTGTTTGGGGTTTGAGTGAGTCCACTTCTATGAGTCCCTCAACCACAGAAATGTGTTGCAGCACATTTTCCCTCATCGTTTTTAGGGGAAAAAGTTTTTTTCTTGTTTTTTATCCATATTATGAACTGAATGATTGATCGGAAAAATCCGGATATGTTGCCAAATGGATTTTAACTCAGAACCTAAGGTCTGGACAGGTATGGAAAAGAATAAAATGGAATGAAAATACTGAAAAAACTTCCTTTCCCTTCTTCTTTCAGTTTTATTTTATTTCAGAAGTGTGTGTATTTGTGTTGGGGCGGGTGCAAGT